CACCTCTTCAAAGGCGCTTAAATCTCTCACGCATAACTTCACACAAAGACAAGAAAAAAAAAAAAAATAATAATAATAATAATAATAATTATTATTATTATTATTATAATAATAATAATAATAATATTAATAATAATAATAATAATAATATTAATAATAAGAACAAATTGCACTTTTGGTCCTGTGAGTATTAGGGTACTGACAATTTGAATACGTGACTTTCAAAACTCCCAATTTAAACCTTTAACTATACAATTATTGACAGATTTGGTCCTCTGGGCCAAATTGCCGGCCAATTTTGGCCGAAAAAACATAAATTGGTTCAAATTGTTTTTTGACGAGGGTAAAATTGTCATTTCACTCCCTTCTTCTTCATTCTCCCTTTCTTCTTCGTTCTTCTTCTTCTTTGTCCCGATAAATATTCCGACCTGTCTTCCTTTCTTCTTCCATTTTGTACAACTCAAAGCCTGTCTTCCTTTCTTCTTCGTTCTTATTCCATTTTGTACAACTCAAAGCCTGTCTTCCTTTCTACCATAATAATACACAACAATAACAACAATATAATCAAAGATTTGATCTTAATGAAAATGGCTTAAGCCCCTAAAACTAAAATTGTTCTCACCTCTAACTAAATTCAATCAAACAGATGGCTACTTTGTATGGGTCCTCAACCATGGCTGACATTCACCATCTGTGACTGCTTCTTCCCCAGCTTTTCTTCTCATTTCTGTGACTTCCTTGTGAGAGCTGGAGTGTAAAGAAGGAACGAACGTCGGGCTAGCCGCGGGTCGATATTCGGGAAATAGCCGTCCAGAACGGTACCGAACTCCACAGGCATTGCAGAGTGTTTTTGGCCCCATTGGTCCCTCCCTCCACTGTGGGGTTTTTGTAACTTCACAGTGTAAGCATTTTTTAACTGGAGAACTCTGCCGTCCCTTCTGATGCATGGTTCGCCTGGGGGTTTCTGATGTCCTTTGCGGCAATTGATCTCTGCGACAACTTTCTCTCTCGTTTCTTTTTGGTGCTGGCAGAAATAAAATGCCATGGTTTGAACTTTGACAATCTCATGCGTTTGGACCGAGTGCCTACTGGGACTATGAAGTTAGATTTTATCGCCATGATCATTTTGCCCAAGTAAAGAGCACGGTTCTCAGAGATGCGGGTTGGGGTTTGTGTCTGAAACATTCCAGATTTGTGGTCGGAATATTTATCGGGACAATGAAGAAGAAGAACGAAGAAGAAAGGGAGAATGAAGAAGAATGGAGTGAAATGACAATTTTACCCTCGTCAAAAAATAATTTTAACCAATTTATGTTTTTCCGGCCAAAATTGGCCGGCAATTTGACCCGGAGGACCAAATCTGCCAATAATTGCATAGTTAAAGGTTTAAATTGGGAGTTTTGAAAGTCACGTACTCAAATTGTCAGTACCCTAATACTCACAGGACCAAAAGTGCAATTTGTTCTAATAATAATAATAATAATAATAATAATAATAATAATAATAATAATAATAATAATAATAATAATAAATGCAATTTCGAATTATTAGGCACTATAGACATCTAATTGTGGTGTGATATGTATCTAATGATATGATGTGTGAATTTAAATTAAGGAATATTAGGTGTTTAATATCTTAATTTAAATTAAAATTTGAAATGATTTAGTATAATTTAATAATTATAATATGTTAACTATAAATACATAATATGTCGTTAACATATTATGTGCCTGTAATTAACAAATTATGTACCTAATTAACAAATTAGGTACCTTCAATTTATTTACAGGCATACAATTTATTCAGACACAATAATTTTTAGACCAGGGTCCACAATGTATGATAGACCCTAGTCCATGGTATAACAATTGATTATTTGTTTCACAAGCGATGTGGAACAAAATATTCATAGAGTTTAGATGTAAACTGATATTAATAAATTTATTACGATATAAAATATTTTTAGTGAAAAAAAAAAAGTTATTATAATTATTATCAAAAAAAATACATTTTTTGTCTCTAAGTTATAGGTAATTGTATGATTCATCACTACTTGTTGATCGTGCTCATTTCTTGTTTCAAAGCTATAACTGACATTGTAAATTTCATTCTTTTACTAACAGGTTGTGCTTACTTTTAGTCCTTAAGCTATAACTAACGTTGCAAATTTTGCCCCTAACATTTTGTTAGAAAAGTGAAAAACTTTACAATGTCGATTATAGAATAGGGATGAGAAGTGAGCATGGCCAACAAGTAGGGACGAATCCTACAATTAATCTATAACTTAGGAACGAAAATTTTCCCATTATCATAATATAGTGTAAATTTATTAATTATTTTTAGTTGAAGTTTGGAAATGAAAGTTTAGATTGGTTGAAAGATGTATAAGTTAATATTTATTAGTGTACTAGTTTTTTTTACGCGCTTTGCGCAATGGGATAATGCCCAATAATTATTTTTAAATAAATCTTTCAAAGTATATCACTGCAATATTATATAAGAGATGTTTATGCATAGGTAAATAAATGTTGAATTTGTTTATTTAAATTTGTAAGTATATAAATGCAAGATAATATATGAGGTATTGATTATAATTGTCACAAAAATAAATGTTTGCAACTTTGTAATAACGCTAGTCTAAATACTTAGTCTAAAAGCGATAGTCTAAATAAATACTACTTTTGGTTTAAATTTCTCTAATTCTTCTTAATTCTCTTTTGGGTATCATTGTCATTATCTTCATCTTTAGTGCATGTCCTTTTTTTGTTTTTTATTGATAGTGTGTCATGTGCAATTGGGTTACTGGTGATAGCATAGAGGGATTCATCGTGCAATGAGCTTATACTATAGGAAGCTTTAGATTTGTCTTGTTGTGTATATGACCGGGATCTTAGTTGCACTATGAACTTTTTATCTTACAAGCACCTATTGATACTTAGTAGTGGTAACTTTTTTCCCTACATGTTTCACGTGTTGTGAGATGTGTGTCGTAGGTTATCATGTGAAAATATTGAACAAAATATTAATATTTATTATATTTGTATAAAATACTTGGTAAATAAATAAATAAATAAATAAATATATATATATATATATATATATATATATATATATATATATATATATATATATATATATATATATAAAACATATTTTGTATTGTAACTTTGATATTTAATTACAAGATAATGTAAAAAAAAGATTGGATAATGTAGTGAATATAATAAATTAATAAATTTGAAGGTAATGAATCTTTGAATTGTAGAAAATAAAGATAATATAACTAATGAAATTATATCTCTTTTTAAATTTTTTATAATGAATAATTTTATTTTTTTTAAATAAAGGCATTATAGACATCTAATTCTAAAAAATTCATATGTTTTTTTTGTAGCTACTATTCTATTTAATTTAATAAGAGTAATAAAGTGGCATACATACTTTCATCAACAATAATGAAATCGTTGATTTTTTTAATTTTCATGCGTTGTTGAGACAAATTGTTTTGAAAGTTTGTCAATGACAATTGATATAATTCATGTCAATAGAGGATGATAATAAATAATTCAAAATATATTATTACAATATATATTGTTATAATGATATAATAATAAAAATTAACTTACAAATTTATTTAGAAGTTTTCATGCATTGATAAAATACTGCTGGAAATTATGGAATTTCCGACCACCTGAAAGTGATTTTAAATCAAATCGAAAGCAAAAAGTGGTCGGAAATAGCAACAAAGGTTTTTTCGGATACCAAAAGTGGTCGAAACAAGGCTTTTGACTTGATTTAAGATCACTTTCAGGTGGTCGTAAATTCCATAATTTCTAGCAGTGAAATTCTGATGTGTAAACTTGTTTAATTGGAGTCAGTGGGATGTCAACATTGTCAATTCTTTAGAAATGGTCCTACCATTTCATTTTAGAGTTCAGGTGTAATTGTATTTATGATCAACAATTTTGTAGTTAGGCCCTGACATTGATGTAAGAACAATTTTGTCCGATAATATTTCGTAGTATAATATTTGTAAAGTAATGTACAATTGTGCCATTATAAAAATACATACAAAAAATATTAATAACATAATGGCCTAAATTATTAAAAAATACTAAAATCAAAATAATATGAAGCATTCATTTTAAAAAAAACAATTACACCAATACTTTTTTTTTGTTCCATTTAAGTGTCTAATATTATTGGCTCTTATTAGATTTCTAAAAATGTGCTAGTTTATTAAAATTGAAAGTTTATAATGTTAATTTAAAAATATTAAACTGTTTTAGTTAAGTCAACGTAATAAGTCCGATAATTACGGTTATGACAAAAAATTTTAAACTTGCCAAAAACATAGATAAGCTCCAATCAATAAGCTAGATTGACAATCTGATAGGGTAACGAGGTGGTCTAATTGATATATCTAATCATAAATGGTTTTGTTTATATTATATTATTGCAGAGGTTCCAAGTAAGGTGTCACATCTTCTTGCATTAGATGGTGCTGAGGAAAGATTGCATTTGTTTGAAGCCGACTTACTTAAGGAAAACTCTTTTGATGATGCAATTAATGGATGTGAAGGTGTTTTTCACACAGCATCACCTGTAGTTTTATCACCATCAGCAACTAAGGTCAACCCTTTTGTTTTTCTTATGTTAATACCCCTTTAGTTCTACTCTTTTTTATTTTATTATTAAGATTTTTATCTAACTTATATATATATTTTAGGTAGGACTAGTGGATCCTGCAGTAAAGGGGACACTAAATGTTCTTGGATCATGTGTGAGAACACCTTCTGTGAAAAGGGTAGTGGTGACATCCTCAACAGTTTCAATTTTCGTCAAACGAGATCCTATAAGTCCAACTGATGTCGTTGATGAGACTTGGTATACAGATAAAGAATTTGTAGAAGAAACAAAGGTAAAGCATATATGTATTTGATAAGAGTTTATGCAACCTGATTATAAGCAAAACAGTGACTTTCTTTTCTTTATAGCAATGGTATGTCTTGTCTAAAGTCCTAGCCGATGAAGCTGGATGGAAGTATGCAGAGGAGAATGGGATTGACTTGGTTTCCTTACATCCTGCTCTTGTTATTGGCCCTCTTTTACAACCCACTCTTAATTTTTCAAGCAGAGTCATTCTAGATCTCGTAAAAGAAGGTAATATTTCATAAAAAAATGAGTCAAATTAATTATATTTATAGTCGTTAAAGTTTTTATGATTTATTTTCCATTATTATAAAAATAATGAACATTATGTCACACAGAAAAAGATGGACTACTTAATGGAATCTTCGCAGACTACCCTCTTGTTGATGTTAGAGATGTCGCAAATGCACATATTCAAGCATTTGAGTTACCTTCTGCGAGTGGAAGATACTGTTTGGTTGGAATAAATATGCACGCTTCCCAAATTTTGAAGATTGCAAGCCGGCTTTTTCCTTCTCTTCACATTCCAGACAAGTAAGATTTTCACCTAAAGATATTATTATTTGTGATTGTTCTAGTAAAAGAAGAAATTATGGAATATACCTTCTTTTTTTTTTTTGAAACATTCGTAATTCTTTACAATATAATATATGTTCTATATTTTCTCAATTTTTTAAACCAAAAGAATCAATGTCACCACCACCGGGTATACCTTTTAAAAAAACTTATTTTCTAATGACAGGTATAAAGATGACTTACCTGCCGTAGCAACCTATCAAGTATCCCAAGAAAAGGCAAAAAGCTTGGGGATCAACTTCACTTCTTTTGATGTGAGCCTTAAGGATACTATTGAAAGTTTAAAAGAAAAAAACTTCCTCAACTTCTAATTCTTGAGCTCCTTCTCACTCGCGTGGTGCCATTGAAGGGTGGATGTTTTAATTATTTAGGGGATGTTTGATTGGAGACTTTTGTATCCTATTATAAGATTTGATATCCATTACTATATTTGTTTGTTTACTTTTGCTATGTTATTATTGGATCAAATCTTTTAATAAATTTTTAAAACTCATTATCATTTTTCTCCCCTACTTTTGAACAATAGAATACAAAATGAGAAAATAATAAAAATAAAAATATTATTGTCTATGCATTCAATATACACCTTCAATATATATACACATATATGTATATGTATATATATGCATCATAGATACATAGATATAAATCGGATCAGATGTTGTGGTGGCCTTAGTGTGGCAGTGGTGGACCGATTTGGACGGTGCACCCTGGTCATGTACGACTTAGTTTTCAAACAACGTTTTATTTAATTTTGATTGCAACTGTTTGGTTGTCAAATTCATCTTATAGATTATTTTTCTATAAAGCATCTATTCAAATTTAAATATCAAAACGTATCATTTTGATCCCAGGTCTACAATGTTATGTAGACTTTGGTCCACCATATAAATGGCCTCCATTAACTTGTTCTTTCCGCATAACCCGCCAAACATGTACACTGTTCATATGATTTCACTTACTGTTGAAAGTCAACCTTAATAATTGTCATGTTCCAATAATCTTTAGTCATCAAATTCAAATGTTTGGTGGGTGTTGTCGGATACGTAGCATGTCGCTATAATGCAAGGAAACAACATTTTTAGCCCTGAATTTTTTATTTTTTTAAAATTTTGTCCTTGTTAATTGATTTTAACGTATTTAGTCCTTTAATTGTTAATCTGTTACACTTTCCATTCAGTCAACTACGTTAGCAAAATTTTATTTTAGAATGTTATTAATTTTTGTTATTTAGAATCAATATTCATAGTTAAAGTTTCATTCTCTCCAAGTGAATGTCATTTTTAACTATGAATACTGATTCTAAATTACAAAAACAACATCATATATTAATGGAGTTTAATAATTATATAATACTAGGGGACTAAAGATGCAATGTTATCAACAATTAAGAGACTAATTAATTTGTTTAAATTAATTTACTATGATCAAATTTCTAAAAGTGGAACAATTAAGGAACCAAAGACAAATTATTCTATGAGCTTAGGTCTACCTTACAAGGTGAACCCGGGTCCAAAATAGACAATTTACATACTGAAAGTTCACAATTTACATAGTGAATGTTCACAATATTGTAAAAGGTAAATTGTAAACATTAAGTATGTAAATTGTGAACATTCAGGAGGTAAATTGTGTATTTTGCACATGGATCCACCTTGCAAGTGGAAAGGTCCATGGTATAACACTATAACAACTAGGAACCAAAAGCGTAGTTTTCCCTATCATATACATAAGCCCAAGAACAAAAACCCAAACAAATTAGGGAAAATTGTAAAAAATGCCCCTCTATAATATGCCAATTATTAATGTCACCCATGAATTATGAGTAGTGTAAATGTTGCTCCTCAATTATCAAAATGGTGCACATATAGCTCCTCCCGTAACGGACCTGTGGTTCCCCATCGCTGGTACTTCGAATCGAGGGAGAGAAAAAACAACTAAATTACATATTTACTCCGACTTAACGGTGTCGTACACTAACAGGGAACCACATGTCCGTTACAGGAGGGGCTATATGTGCACCGTTTTGATAATTGAGGGGTAACATTTACACCCCTCATAATTCAGGGGTGACATTGATAATTGACATATTATAGAAGGGTATTTTTTACAATTTTCCCTTTATGTTAATACTAGCGGCAGGAACTAGAGCTTTGAAAGGAAAGCCAAAGCAGGCATAGGTGGGTAGAATAGTGTAAAGAAGAAGATGAAGGTGGTATGCGTGACTGGTGCCTCCGGTTTCATAGCTTCTTGGCTCATCAAGCTTTTGCTCCACCGTGGTTACACCATCCACGCCACTGTTCGCAGCCTTAGTCAGTCCAAGGTGGCTCATCTTCTTGCATTTGATGGTGCCAAGGAAAGACTGCATTTCTTTGAAGCAGACTTACTTGAAGAAACCTCTTTTCATCCTGCAATTAATGGATGTGAAGGTGTTTTCCACATAGCATCACCTATTTCTTTTTCACCATCTGCAACTAAGGTCAACTTTTATGTTTCTCTCTTATTATATACTATAATTTAGCCCTCAACTATAATATTTTTCTTGGGTTAATGCTAGATTTGATCCCTCGACCACTATTAAGATTTTAACACTTTGATTCTCAATTTCTAAACTTGTTCAATTTCATCCTCAACTATGGAATTGTACCGTTAACCAAAATAGTCATCAATCAGGACATACTATTTTGGTTTGGACCAAGGACTATTTTTGGTAAAAACTGCATAATTCGAGCTGAAATTGAGCAAGTTTGGGAGTCGAGGTCCAAAGTATTGAAATCTAGGGACCAAATAGAGTATTAACTCATTGTTTTGATTTAGTCCTAAATGATTTTGTGTGTTTAATTTGATCTTGGATTTTGATGCTTCCTCTGTTAGGATAGCTTAGTAATTTCTCCTCTATTAATATCTAATTTAGTCTTCGACTATTGTGTTTTTTCTTACCCCACAAGGCTGAATTTCCAACCCTAAGGGCCCCCACACTCCGACCCGACAGAGCATGTGGGAGGATGTAAATCACTGTGACTCAATGGGTTAGTAGACAGGGCCAAATGCCGGTGCGCACAAGGAATCTACCCACTTTGGCTATTGTGATTTTTCTTGATTTAGTCCTTGATTGTAACGGAACCATCAAAGCCCAAACCCAATTCAGCACAAAAAATCATTTATTAAGACTAAATTAAGAAAAATCACTATAGTCGAGACTAAATTTGATATTACCTGATTTCTATCTATCTGTTTTAATCTTTGAAGGCAACCTACAACTTGCATTTCCAATCATAATCTCCTGTTTCATCATCACCCAGTTATGTATTTTCATATTTTTTCTACATAAATAGGCAGAATTAGTTGATCCTGCGGTGAAAGGGACACTGAATGTTCTTGGATCATGTGCAAAAACAGCTTCCGTGAAAAGGGTAGTTGTAACATCCTCAACAGCTTCAGTTATGTTTAAACGAAATCCTATAAGTCCCGAAGAAGTAGTAGATGAAACTTGGTTTTCAGACAAAGAATATGCAGAGGAAGCAAAGGTGTGTTTGTATCTCTTTAGTACATGCTTTTTTTGTGCATATCTTCTGTCATATCCCTAACCCAGTAACCCGAGTACAAATAATCAAACAATTTATGCCAATTAATATGAGATTTTGATTACTATAGCAATGGTATGTCCTGTCAAAAATCCTTGCCGAAGAAGCTGCTTGGAAATATGCAGGAGAAAATGGGATTGACTTGGTAGTATTGCATCCTACAATTGTAATTGGCCCTATTTTACAGCCAACTCTTAACTTTTCAAATGCGTTGTTTCTTGACCTCATAAAAGAAGGTAATATTTCTTTTAAAATGGAACCAAATTAAACTTATGTTGATAAAAGTTGAGATGATTTTTTACCATTATTATCAGCCTGAATAGAATGATGAATGTCATGTTACACAGGCAAGGAAGTAATGCCTACTGGAATCTATACTTTTGTTGATATTAGAGATGTTATAAATGCACATATCCAAGCACTTGAGTTACATTTAGCTAGTGGAAGATATTGTTTGGTTGGGACAACAATACACTCTTCCCGAGTTTTGAAGATTGTAGGCGAACTTTACCCTTCTCTTGCCATTCCCGAGAAGTAAGATTTTTAACAAAAGACGTTTATGAGAATGTTCTTAGGCAAAACAAAAAATTACAATAAATTTTTTCTAAAAGAAAATATTTTTTCTTATGATAGATATAAAAATGACTTGCCAGAAGTACCGACATACCAGGTATCTCAAAAAAAGGCAAACAGCTTGGGCATCACCTTTACTTCTTTTGATGCGAGCCTTAAGGATGTTGTTGAATGTTTAAAAGAGAAGAAGTTCCTGAGCTTCTAATTCTTGGGCATCTCATTAAAGCATGAAGAGGATGTTGCAACAATCTATTCAAGAGACATAACAAATTTTACTGTAAATCATGATCTAAAATTTGAAAGTTTCAAGTTTATAATATTTATAAAGAGAACTCACTTTTTTTTTTTTTTCATATATTTGAGCAATTTTCAACTGTTGATCTATCTAAATAGATAGATCAGATTAGTCATCACTTTTTTTTGTAGGGGGAGCATGAATGTTCTCCTATGAACCCTCCTATCCTATATTTATATGTTTTTGGAAAGGGACTCTATATTTTTTAAAGGTACAGGTGCTACTACTAAAGGGGTCTAATATTTTTTTTAAAGGTATTACCAGTGTTGCAAAAATCGGGCCTAGGCGCCGATTAATCGACGGCTAGGCGCTAGGCGGTCGGCCACCTAGGCGCCCTAGGTGTCCGTCTAGGTGCTCTAGGCACTGATTAATCGCTCTAGGCGCCCGCCTAAGCGGTCGCCAGGCGCCTAGCGATTTTTTCAACCTTGGGTATTACTACTACTACATTCACACAAATAGTTTGAACTTTATGCATACAAATAGTGAATCTTATATGTATAGATAGTAATACTAGATTTAATAAATATCATATTTTAAATAAATGAGGGTATGGTGTGCCGAATAAGTACAACTATATGTTCTACAAATATTGAACTTTATGTGCAACATAAATGAGTCTAAAATATACATATATACCTAAATAATCAACCTTTACATGCTCAAATAATGAACCTTATATACACAAATAGTGAACCATGTGCATATAAATAGTGAACCTTCAAACTGTTTTTATATTATTTTATACACATTCAAATAATGAACATTATATATAAAAATAATGTAACTTGGACATAAAAATAATATATCATATGTATGATCTACACAACTGTATAAATTATGATCTACCTAATGAGCATGTCCAACTGTTGGGAGGACCGGCCCAACCGGCCATATGAATAATTAACCACATGAAGAATGGTTCAAACTTCACTACTCAATTAATTAATTTGTATCATGATGTGGCGTGCAAACATATATGAATATATATAAGTTGACAGAG